CACACACACACACACACACACACACACACACACACACACACACACACACACACACACACACACACACACACACACATAAATGAAGGTTTAACCAATAAATGGTAAAGAACTATTCTCTGATATATTGATCTAAATCGTATAAATCGATTTACAAACACAAACGGAAGTTCTATCGCTATAACTTCTTTAATACAATCGACTTCCGCACTTTTACTATCATTTCAGAGTTTTAAGTAAAACACTGCACATAATCACTAAAAATTGAACTCAAGATGGAATCCAATACTCCTGATTGTAGTAAATGTTACAATTGTCGAAGATGGAATTACTGCAATGAGTGTTCAGATCATAATACTCATGATTGTAATAAATGCACCGATTGTCAAGAAAATTACGACTGCTGGAAATGTTTTAAATATCACAAACGAATTTATCAGGCTGAATGGTCTAGCGAAATCAAGATATCGATAGGCTAATAAACGAATGCGCGAAAATTGAAATGAATCCCTTTTTGAAAGATTTACCAATGTTGAATATCGATATCTTGCAAAAGGAGGTTTTGGAACAATTTATAAAGCATTGTTATACAAACCAGTAAGGTGGGATCATTTACGCAACTCAAAGCAATTGCATTAGAGTTTATAAATGAGGTAAAAATGAACCATTTCTAAAGTGTTGTTTTTTTGTTTCTAGTTTTTTCAAAAATAGATTCAGACTGCATTGTTCTTGATTATTAATGACTTATGCGACTGTATATTAATTCCAACTACGTTCGAAGGATTGGCTTGGGAAGAAAAATTAAGATATATAAATTAGATTATCGGTGGTTGAGAAAAATTCACAGAGGAACTTGTACATTGTGACTTTCACTCTGGAAATATATTAATAAATTATCATAGTGTTGCCGATTTTGGCTTACCGGCCCAGCAGATATAAAAAAGTCTAATAAAGAAGTTTGCGGAGTTCTTCCTTATATTAGCCCAGAGGTGCTAAATGGAAAGCCATACACTAAAGCTGCAGATATTTATAGTTTATTTACAGGCGAACGATCGTTTGGCGGGCGGAGTCATGATATACATCTCGTGTCAGACATTTATGAATATAACTTACGATACCAAATGATGTTCCCGGATTTATTATTGAAAAATGTTGGGCAGGAAACAGACCATCGGCTCTATCCGCTATCCAGCAGACAATATCGAACTGAATACGTTACAGTTTACACCAGCCGAATATTTACTACAAAATTAATTTCAATTCCAACTGATACAGGTACATTTATTTCTCATATTGGCATTCATATTAATCGAATGTTTAAGCTCTTGTATGTTCCAAGCGATTTCGATTTTAGTAGACCGCATGAAGTCAAAGAGAATGAAGAGATATCGAGTGACTTGCGGGAAACACTTCCAAAAAAGCGAAAAAAAAGAAAATGGTGGCTATTTTACTTTATACTTTACATATTATTAAATGAAATTGGCATTTACCTTTTTGATTTATTAACAGCATGATCCTGAGGAATCGTTATTAACTTTGTTTTGAGTTAAAGCACAACGATCAAAAGAGGTTTTATTGTTATCAACTTTTTGTGTTTACGCATATATCCTATGTAAATATTAAGCACCAGATTTTAAACACTGATTATTAATAAAGAATAAAATTAAATCTCTATATAAGCGCTACCTCTTTATACGCACCAAAACTACTGTACCCGAAGGGGTGATTATATGGAGGTCTGACTGTATTTATTATTATTTCTAAAATACATTTCTTTATGTATACAGGACTCTTATAATATAAAACAATTTTGTTACGTTCTTGATCCTAGCGCATTGTTACATGTGACTGACAATATATTTTATTTTTTGCAACTTTAGAAAATATAAATTAATAGTATGTTCATTTTCTTGTTGTCATTCTCGTTTATTACGTAAATTGTCGTCGTTAACTTGCTATATTTATTAATATAACAAAATTAAACTAGAAATTTTGAGTTTACATTAAGGAAAATTCTATGATGTTATATTCGTTAATATTATTGCCTGTTAAAAAATCATCATACGCAAGACTTTGTTATATTCCTTGGATTGTAAGTTTATACAAAATACTTTTCAAACGAAACGCATAGCAAGCATTGATATGAATCCTTTTTCTTGCAAGTCTTTTAGCAGATCGTGGTGTTTTGATAGGAAAATTTCTATCAAGTAAATTGACAGAAATTGAAGTACCAGGTCGTTTTTTTGAAAAAACTATTTTGAATCTTCCTTTTGCCAAATACTTTTGTTAGAGATCAATATGTTTCTTTTGTTTCCCATATGAACTTATCAATCATGATTTCAGTTTCTTTTTCGCGTGATTGTTAACCTCAGCTTTCAGTACAAAGTCCAATTGTAAGTTTTACACAAAATACTTTTCAAACTGACTGCATTTAGAGCTAATTTCTTTACCTCTAATTAATTGCCTTTTTCGTTATAATTAGAACAAATTACTGAAGCATAATTGAGATTTTTTTGAATTCGAATGGATTTTACGAGCTAGAACGATCAATTGTGGTTTTTGAAATGAAATATCATACGTATTCACAAATTTGAAGGTTTTCTAATTGCAATTTTGTTCATAACTATAACCTGAAAAATGGTAACCGGATATATTTGCCGGGAAACACATTTTGATTTGGGTGGATTGGAGTTAGAGCTAAGATTATATGTAAAACTGCCTTCCTGACATGCTTGAAGTTAGATTTAGGCCTCTGTTTCCTGTATTTTTCATTTTCTTGTGTCGGATTTCTATTTTCGGAAAAAATGTGTCGGGTCATGTGATTGCCGACCATCCGATATCCCCTTAAAATTGAAATAGCTTCGTTATCGTTATATAAAATCATTATGTTTTCTATAAAGCCCAACTACTAATATAAAACTCAAACATTTAAGGCTCGTTATATCCAGAGTTCGTTATAAAGAGGTTCGTTATAGAGAGAGTCGACTGTATCTTGAAATTTTGATCTTTTGTGTTCTAACAAAAATGTTCCTTGCAAATTTTACTATTCTTGTTTGCTATATAATAACCTTAACTTTAAACTTAACCCTAAACCTAAACTTAACCCTAACCGAAATTCTATTTAATATTATAAAGGGGGATGTCGGATGGTTGGTGTCGGGTTCGACACTTTTTTTCGTCAATGCTAGAGTTCTATGGTCGTCATATGTGATGTCACGTTTCAATAATTTATTTGACAAATGTCCAATTTTCTTTATTGACTTATCCCACATTACGATACTCCTCGTCTCTTGTCAGTTTGACCCTATGGAATGGTTGGCAACAATTTGATTCCAACCAACGCCTCACAATTGCATTGAAGAGAGCATTAATATCTTCTTCCCGATTCTTGAATATCACTTTAATCCGCTAAAAATTTCGAACTGATGAACTTAAACATTCTTCGGTTCAAGACTGGTCGTCAAAAGAAGTTAATATATTTCTGGAGGAGAGACTAGGTAATCATTGGACTGCGTAAGTGAAAGAGATTTTGAGAAGCGCACGAAGCTCGCAGAAGATTTACTTCTAGAATTGGATGCAAAAATTATATTTGCAACCTGTGGTCATAATGAAGCTTAAGAAATCATTAAGCAATTACAAGATGAGTTTTTTAATAACTTTCCGTTTGGTTGTTGTATGGAAGTTTATTGAGTGATGCAATCAATTAGTCAACGGACGTGGCTATCAAGAAACTTGGGCGAGAATGTTTATATCCTTTATTTCGCTTTGTAATCCTGGCGATTTATCCTTATTCTGTGCAATTGGCAGACGTAATTTGTTTCTAACAGGTTTTCCGATATCCATCTACATTCAAGCGTATGTCGGCTGTTAGAAATATACTATGCATGATGAGAAAACTTTGATAAATTATAAGGGATCTTCATCCCAACCAACCGAATCAAAGGTAAAAGGGTAAGGGTTGAAACTTATTTTAAACTTAAAGTAAACCAGGTTGAAACCAATATAAACTTGAGTTAAACATACAGTGGCGATCATAATTAATGCAACAAAAAAAAAATTTTCGTTGAATTGAAATATTTCATGCAAATTCGGAG